GTTAGTTCTTTTATAGTTAGTTATTTTGTTTCAAGTTTTAATTATTTTAATTATTATCATTTAAAGTGTAATGATTTATATGAAAAATACTTTTGGTATATACTAGGAATTAAATTACAATTGAATGATAATTAATCAATGAAATCTTAATTTATTAGAAATATGATTATATATTTTACAAATCTGTTAGATTACTTTACATACTATGTTTATTAATATCTGGAACCTACTTTCTGATATAGTTATAATAAGACAAGTTAAAAATATCAAAAATGCAATATATAACATATACATAAAGATATTTTGCTTTAAAAAAGTTTATCTTTGCTTAAGAAAATAAGAGGTTTTTACTTGAGCCAACCTTGTACTGTGAAAAAAGTTAAATTCACCTTGACATTCTTACTGCTGAAACGAGCCATTCAAATATTGTGTGTAAAATACTTGAACGTACAAAAGTTCTTTTACCTAAAGGAATTTCGCTGAATTGTGACATAAGAACAATTACTTCATTTATTACTTTGGATAGAATAATTTGTACAATTACAATATAAAATTTGAATATCCTATTTCCGAAATAAATTTCTAGCAGAATGATATTTCAAAGTAGAGTAAAACGTGGAAATGCGTAAAACTTGATGCTACTAATTCAAAAAATTCGTAACAGGAAAAACTTTTAATGTTACTTGTTTTTTTTTGATGAAATACTTTGTCAGGATATATACTACGTAAAAAATTTAATGCAATTTATATTTGTTTCATATATCAAGGTTTCTTCACTTCAGTAAACAAGAAAATTTATAATGTAACGGTAAGGAATTTTTATTGGCTATTTAAATTAGTGAAAGTGAATAAAGAGCTGCATTATCCCTACTCTTGGGGATAAATGATATTATGAAATTCTTGCGAAATTCTTCGATCGGCTATACCTTTACGAATCCTTTGTGCACAACAAGCACTCAATTTTATTAATTGATCGACGTTCAGCCAATTCACGACATTCATTCTATAAATTGATTTATTTTACATTTTACGCATCGTATTTTAATACTGTTAGCAATCTTCATTAGTGGAATATAAAAAAATTGAATTGTTCCGTTATTAAGTTTCCGTTCTTCATTGAAGAGTGATTTTAGTGGACTAATTTGCCTAAGTCATGTCCGTTACATCATGTGCGTGTACGCATTGTCTTCCATTTAGTGCGTTGTACTTTTTATTGACTTCGTAGAGAAAGTGCCGTTTCACTTTTAACGAGGAACTGCAGTGCTGTAATGTTTGATGAATAATACATATGTCTCATTAAGTACGAAATTGAATAAAAGACATCATTAATATTAATACGTACATACTATTCTCATAATCATTTCACTGCATTATACTACAGTGTTATACATCATATTTCATTTAAATGAAATTCGAGAGAAAATTATATCAATTATTATGCTTAGAATATCTCTTTAAAATAAGGTGCAAATCATGATTCAAAAATAAGATCTCGAATATGAGATTATATCAGTTAATCCGAAATGAGAATATTCTTCTGGAAATGTATCCTTATTGTTCAAATATAACTGATATAACTCGTCGTAAGCTTTGCACTAGAATTGAAATTAACCACCCATTTGTCTTCTGGTTCTGCTTAATCGTGACTAGCCGAATGATTTATGATTTCCACTTCTCCTTAGCAAACATAGTTGTACTAGCCAGATGCAGCGAAGGGTGTCGAAATCGAGAAGGGTTGGTTGAAAAAAAAAAAAAAAATTAGGTGCCTGTCTGCCATGAAAAGCGCGGAGATAATGAGCGCCTTGCGTGATTCATACTTACGGTTGGAAAACCGGAAGTTCCGACGTGCTAAAATTTTCATTTTCCGCGAAACGCAACACCGTGTCTATACCGGTCTTTTCGATCTTTTTTTTTTTATGTACGGATTTCTGTATTAAAGGCTTATTGCGTGTTCAAATCGATGATAATAACACATTCTATCTGTATAATGAAAATAAAGCACGCTGCTGGCAATACTAATTAATGCAGACATATCTACGATCTGCGCAATTTTTCTTTCTTTCTTTTTTTTTTTTTCATCGCTATCTCAGATTTATTTAAAACCAGTCAATTCAGTAAGCGTTGAAATATCTCTCTCGCGTCGCGGAATATTGCACGAAGGGGAAATTCACATTTCTATTTTCGCCGATTTTGGTATTTCATTCCATAGTATTTTAATGTTTCCAATATCCATAAATATACCCATAATTCATTTACGTTTGATCTCACTAACAAGCACGGTTGAATTGTTGATAGCGATCGCAATATAGAACTGGGTTAAACGAAAGAAATCGGTAATCCTACGGTTGGCGGGATCGCGATCGATCCTCCGAACGCGAAGATGTTTGTATTCGAATGCAAACGTTATTAATAACCTTCCATCGTGCCTGCGAATTTACATGAAAATAGTTGAAGCTCTATTTCAGGTGAGCGTGTACCGCTTCCAAATAGCTGATCCAGTTTCGAATCACGCAGTAGCTAATGCGTTCATGACCACATTCGATGAGCATTCGTTATTGACGTTCCGACGCGCACACCGCCGATGCTTCTCATAGCTCTTGTTAGTATTCATTGAAAAATGCAAAGAGACCATGAAAATAATATGCATCGAAGAATCACGGGATTTTATCACGGCAATTAAATTGTTCCAGCAGGAGCGAGTACTTCTTAGATTAGCTTATTATGCAGTTCATTGGTTTCTGATATCGTCGGAGGAAAAATGGTTCCGAGCAATTCTTCGATCTACTGAATTAATTCGCATCGAAAGCGTAGCAACTCTGTTAACATTGCAAATTATCCTCAATTGTCAAATAGCATAAGTAGATATAATAATTTCTGTCAGATGATTAAAATTTTGGGCGATTTGATTTTACTCCGGTACTTTCACTCTGCATTTTTCACGATTAAGATCAATAATGAAATACAGTTGACTCGGGAATTCTGAAATGAAGTAATTTAATTTAAATTTTTACGGTCGCCAATGGTACAGCGGTACCGATTGAAAGTAAAAATGTAGGTATATAATATTATAATTTAAATATCTTTAAAAATAGTTAATACTCAGTGTTATACATTTTTTTAAACTGTACTCAATTTATATTCACATTAGCAATATATTGTTATTTATATAACAAGTACCTATGCAAAGACCAACAGCACGTTCCGCACGAACTAATCGGATTACATATGCGGTAACGTGTTTTTAGTCCAAATTCACTTCCTACTCTCGAGTATAGATCCGATGGCAAATCAGATTAAGCTGTCTCGTAATATCCAGTTCAAGGTGAACCACAAGCCGTCACAGGCCGTACAGCGAAAGTGATTGGTCTCGATGTAATGTCAAGAATATGTCCGCGCTGCTCTGTGAAGCAGTGTACTTTGGAACGCGAACCCGATCGAAGCCACGGTTCTTCGAGTCTGCAAGTTGTTGAGTGTATCGTACCGTTGTTCATATGTTACGACCAGGCCTCGAGTTGTTCAATCCGTGATGGTGCGATTTTTGAGTTTCATCGTGACCCTTGGTTATCTGTATTGTGCGAACGGAGGGAGCTTGGAAGTTGCTTTTCAGTGGAAATACTTGGATTGGACCTGGCCGAATGTTCGCTTGACAGGAAGAAATCAAACGCTGGGTAACGCGTTCACCCAGGACGTAGACGTCGATAGATACGGCCGTGTATTCGTAACTAGTCCTCAGTGGTTGGATGGTGTCCCCATTAGCTTGTCGTTAATAACGACTGCCTATGGTTTGGGTGGCCCTTTGCTGACGCCATATCCTGATTGGACCTGGCACACGCCGTACAGTTGTGACAGCATAATATCTGTGTACAGGTTGGCGGTAAATATCGTGGCAGGTGTAATCGCTGTAATTGCTGCAAGGGTTTCCATATTTTCTAGTGAAATTCAGCATTTCAATAAATTCAATTGAAATTTCCTCGGTGCTATTACTTTTGATAATATCTGTCTCTTCTTTTTTTTTCAGGATTGTTTGTTAAATCAATCAATTGTGTACTTTGACCCTATTGCGCTCTTTCGATCCACTTACATTTCTCAAAAATTGAAAAAGTATCTCAAGTTTAAATGAAATATGAAAAGAAAAAAAATGAAGTAAAAAATCTTTTCTTAATTTTTTTCGATTAAATTTTATGTTAGACATAGCTTCAAAAGATTCTTTTTGTTTGCTAAATTGAGTGTAGAATATTAAAATATGAAAATTCAAAAATCGCAGAATTAAAATTGCAAAAGATAAAGCACAGTGAAGAGCACAACTGAATCGATAGCCATGAAAAATTGTCGATAATTCTATAAATTCGCGAAAAATATTTATCTCTTATTTTAAAGCGTAAAACCTCTACTTTCAGTCTCAAGTTCATTTTTTTTCTAAAAATTACTTTACATCATCCTGTAGGGGGTAGGATAGTGAAGGTATCGTTTTCTCGAAAATTGTAAAAATTCTCTAAAAACAATAAAAGATTTTTGTCATGACTAGATACAACGATCTCTTAAAATCTACTGAACGATTTTTTTTCATCATTTCATTGAATCTTAAACATCAGGATTAAATGACTAAATGTTAGGATTTTCTGAATCTTTGTCGTTTAATCCTAATATCCAAAATGCTGAAAAATTCCTATAACCAAGAATCCACTTATCGTAAAGATTGTAAAGACGAGATTTCATTCTTTATTCACGAAAAAATTTTTCAATGTTATTAGAGATGTTTGAATTTTTACAATTTTCGAGAAATGAGATATTCTCATTTTCTCATTCATTTTCTCATTCTACAAAATCATCTTTGAAAGAAACGAACTCACAACTCTAAGAATAGAGGTTCTGTGTTTTAAAATAAAATTAAATGCACATTGTATGATAACCTTTCATCGAGTTGATTATGTTCTTCATTGTATGTTAGCTTAAATTTTTTATAGCTTCATTCAAAATTTTATTATATACGGAATAGTGTTTTAGAGGCAAAAGTTTCTATAAGCAGTCAAATTTATACGTTTGAGATTATATATGGAAAAATGATAATAAAAAATCAGAAACTAAGTGCATAGAAATTTCTATATGCTGAAAATTTCAGTGAATGATGCAAAAACCATCTCGCGATGATAATAATTACATGTTATGTAGAACGTTAAAAATGTTGCATAAGTGCAGTTAAATGAAAACAACAGGGCGTAACGGAATAATTGCATGAATTAGAACGGTCAAACTCGAAATGATCTATGAACTAACACCTTTAAAGTACTTCACGACTAAAAGTTATAGACGTTTTATAATTAGACGAATACAATTTTATTCTATACGTATAGTGTAACTTTAGATATTTTCTCCTAGGCAATGTTTTAAACTGGAAGATCGTGGAACGCATGCACAAAAAATTGTTTAATAAAGATGCGTAGGTTTATATCAGCATACATACGTTATGTTAATATAAACGTGGAAATAGTAAAACGTATAAGAGTGCACGTTAAATAAAAAGTCAAATTCGACAAAATTATTCTTGTACGTTTAGTTGAATGAAATATGATCATCTAAAATGTATTTATCACTAAAATTAATTGGAATATAACCCGTTGAAAATTGTATGAAGTTATGTTAAAAGCAACAGCAAAATCAACTGTACAGATAGACGAATGCAATCGTTTATGGGTTGTGGATACTGGTCGCATCGGAGGAAACGCCGTTTGTCCCACGAAAATATTGATCTTCGATCTTGCGAACGACCAGTTGGTTCATAAATACGTGGTTCCGGGTGATCAAGTGCTATTCGGGAAGGCAGCATTAGTTACACCAATAGTCGACGTCGGAAAAACGTGTCTCGATACTTATCTCTACGTGGCGGATGTGGATCAAAATGGCCTACTGATTTATGACTTGTATCACGATTATTCGTGGCGGGTAAACAATACGCGTGGCAATGCTTTTGGCCCGGATGACGATGCCACGAACATCACGATCGCTGGAGAATCGTTCGATTTAACCGATGGCACCCTCGGAATGTCATTGTCTCCGTTTGGATATTTCGACGAAAGGTATCGACTTTATTATTTTTTGTCACAAACATCGGGATATTAAACATTTTATGTCGTTTAACCTTTAGAAGACTGGCATTTCTTCA